AATTAATTTTTTCTTGTTTTATAATTTAAATAAATAAATTTTCTGCTATATTTATCCGTCAGGAAGTATGCTATGATGTATTTAAATTTAAAATTTTTTTAATTGTTAAATAATGTTACTTACAGTTGAAAAATTTTGATTCCTTTTTTATTTCTTTAAATTTTTCATGAAATCATTATTTTTAAAACAATTATATTCATACTGAATTTTTAATTTCAATTTATTAATAATGTTTAAAAGCTTAAAAAATGTGCATATGACATTTCATGATATTTTATAAAAGATCACAGTGTTTAGATTTAGTTCAGATTGAAATGCACTTTGCATTTTTTATTAATTTAATTAAATTAAATATTTTTATATTATTTTTTATTTTCTAAATAATGTATATTTTAATAACACAATAAACTTTTTATCAATGAAAAAATATATATATATTTAAATATTTTCATCACAGACAACTACTAACAGTAATAACAAACTAAGACTAAAATTTACGACTGATTTATCAAAACAAACTAAAATTAAAAGCGAGGAAAAAAAAAAAAATTAACTGATTTTCGGTTCGTGAAAATATCAGCTGCTGATGACGTGGACCAATAGGATAACAAATTGGAGAGAATATATTATGAACTAATAGTCAGCCGACGAAAAAATTATTTATTTATTTATTTCTTTCGTGCCAGTAAGGCAAATAACCAAATATTTTTTAAGCCATTTACTTCTCTGCCTATAAACAATGAAACTTCAATTAAACACAATTAATGCTCTTCTTCGCCGTTGCTCTACCTCTACGTCTTTTTTCCTCTCCGTTGCGATCCGTTTATTGAATGTCAACCCTTTTCTCCCTCAGCCGCCCCAGTATCTCTTCACCTTCAAGCTGAATATGGATGCGAATTGTTCATAGGATCTCACGGTATCTCGTTGTCGAGGAGTGAAAAAATCAAAGCCGAGCTCGACGATCTGAGAGACCTTACAGATCTCTGCGGATTCCTTTGCTTTTCTGCATCTGGGCTTTTCTTATTAATATATATATATATATTTTTTATGATGGGTTGGCGATATAAGGCTGGTTTGTTCTTGATGGCCACCGTTGTTGTTATATGGGTCACTTCTGCGGAAGTAACTCAGGTTTGTTCTCTTTGGTTCAACATTTTCTGGTCCTTGTAACTTTTCTGGTAGTTTGGCTTGTATATTTTGTTGAATTGAAATCGATTTTTTGTTTATACTTGTGTGTTTATTTCATGTGGGTTGAGTGATTGTGGTTGTTATCTTGACGTTTTCTTTTGGAATTTGATTAAGACAATTGCACTTTGATACGATTAATATAATTCGCTTTGTTATTTTTCCTTCTGGGGATTGTATACTTGGCAAGAAAGATTAGACAAAGAGACTGCAATAGTTAATTACGTCTGGGACCATAAATCAGCATGAATAAGACCTGGGGTTTATGTTAGTGTTTAATTAGTGTAGCTGATTTTCTGGGTTCACGAGAATTGAAGAGACAGATACATGTATATATAGTTTTTCCTTTTTTTTTTTTTTGAAAAAATATTTGTATATATTTATTTTTTCATTATTTTTCATACTCTAAATAGAGCACAATAGACGGCAAGGTTATCCAACGAAATCACATTCCAGGAGGCACCCACTTGTCAATTGGACTCTGCTACCTGGTTTTCTGCTCCTTAGTAACCTTTTCTTTTCCCTTAAGTGATGCCATGTGGTCGAAACACGACTAGGAAGTTGTTGAAAAATTGTTTTTCTCCATTCAAATTTGGACATTTCTGAACTCTTATTCCAACATGCATGCAACGGTGCCTCATAAGAAGTTCTTAGATCATTTCACCAACATGCTAATACTTTAACAGCTAAAGCATAATCTTCTTTTTGGCAACTTGTGAAGTTTGGAGGCTCTTTAAGTGGAGGGTATATATGCTATATAAAGCATGAAATGTCTAGCATTTTATTTAATTCAGTGTTACTGTATCATTAATTTTTGTGGTCTGGAGATACCTGGATCATTTCATCAACATGGGAATAATTTGCCTACTTCATCTTCTTCTTTTTGGTGGCTTGTGATGATGGATTATGCTATGTAGAGCATAGTCTGTTTAGTGCCTTAATCAGCAGTTTCTCATTGCTTTCTTGATAGGAAGGTGATTAATTCCTTTTCTAATGGTATTGTGGTCCTCGAAATTCATGATACTTTGG